CAATCGTCACAAACATAATTATCATCAATGATATCGAGACCATCATCATTAAGTTAGTAGGTATTTATGAAAGAGCTGGGTCTTTAGCTTTTTCTTAAAGTGCAGAGGGACTCTGCAGATCGAATGGAGTTTGGAAGTTCATTCTACCACCAGGGGGCAACAGAGGAGAAGAGTCTAGTCAGAGACTTAGGACCCTGTTGTGAAGGTTGGATCAGACATTGGCAAAGCGTAGTGGGCGGGAGGGAGTATAGACCTGGATGAGAGAGTTAAAGTAAGGAGGAGCCGTTTTTGTCACTGTTTTGTAAGTGAGCAGCAGAGTTTTAAATTTGATGCGAGCAGTAACTGGGAGCCAGTGTAAGGCGATGAACAGCGGAGTGACATGTGCTCTTTTAGGAAGGTTGAAGACCAGTCGTGCTGCTGCATTTTGTATCATTTGCAGAGGTTTGATAGTGCATGTAGGAAGACCTGCCAGTAGAGAGTTGCAATAGTCGATGCGTGATATCACAAGAGCCTGTACCAGGAACTGTGTAGCGTGTTCTGACCGGTAAGGTCTGATCTTCCTGATGTTGTACAGGGCAAATCGACATGACCGGGCAATCGAGGTTACTTGAACCTTAAAAGTTAGCTGGTCATCAATCATGACACCCAGGTTCCGGGCAGACTTTGCGGGCATGAGTTTGGTTGTTCCAAGCTGGATATTGATCTGTGGTTGCATAGAGGGACTGGCTGGGATGACAAGGAGCTCAGTCTTTGAAAGATTGAGTTGAAGGTGCCGTTCATTCATCCATTTAGAGATATCAGCAAGGCATGATGAGATTCTTGCAAGACTGTATCATCATCTGGTGGGAATGACAGGAAGAGCTGGGTATCATCAGCATAGCAGTGGTATGAGAAGCCACGAGAGCAGATTATTGAACCAAGTGAGCTTGTATATATGGAGAAGAGAAGGGGACCAAGCACTGACCCTTGAGGTACCCCTGTGGATAAGCTGTGCGCTTTGGACACTTCTCCCTCCCACGACACTCTAAAGGATCGCCCAGAGAGGTAGGACAGGAACCAGCAGAGGGCAGATCCTGAGATGCCAAGTTCAGAGAGCGTGGATAGGAGAATTTGATGGTTGACTGTGTCAAAGGCAGCAGACAGGTCTAGCAGTAATAGAACTGAGGACTGACCCGCAGCTCGATTCTGTGACTGACAGTAGTGCAGTTTCAGTAGAGTGGCCCCGCTTAAAGCTTGACTGATTTGGGTCAAACAGATCATTTCTGGACAGGAACTCAGAGACTTGCTTAAAGACTGTGCGCTCAAGTATTTTTGACAGAAAGGGCAGAAGAGAAAACAATCTGTAGTTTTCAACCTGGGCTGGGTTTAGTGTGGGTTTTTTGAGCAGAGGGGTGACCCGAGCTTGCTTGAATGCGGTGGGGAACACACCCGTTGACAGAGAGGAGTTGATGATATGCTTAAGTGCAACATTAAGCGGAGATGGTCTGCAGGAGGCTTGATGGTATTGGGTTCAGAGGACAGGTGGTGGGTCGAGAGTCTAGCACAAGCTTAGAGACTTCATCCTCAGTCAAAGAGGAGAATGAGTCGAGTGAGGCACTTTTGGTTGGTGCCTTTGGGCTGAGTTGGTCAGGCTCAGAAAACTGGTTACTGATGGTTGCAACCTTTTCAGCAAAATTCGAGGCAAACATGTCTGGTGTGAACAGATCGGAATTTCCAGGTATTAGAAATGAGGATACCTGTACCACCTCCACGTCCAACAGAGCGGGGTGTGTGTGAGAACACTGTGTCAACAGAAAGAGCAGCTGGTGTGACTGTATTTTCTGGGCGGATCCAGGTTTCAGTAAGGGCAAGTGCCTGAATGTCTGACATTTTTGCAAGTGCTTGGATGAATTCAGTTTTATTCACAGCAGATTGACAGTTCCAGAGGCCAAAAGTAAATGAAGGGTGGTAGAAGAGGCTTTCTTAAGCAGAGACAAGTTGTTAAGATTTCGTTGTCTATGACAGATGTGTCTTTTCCTGTTCCCATGAATGACAGAGATTTCTTTGTAGCACATGTTGCGTTTAGCAGATGACCAGAGAAAATAGGCAAATCTGTAGTCGTGGATGCCCGGGCTCTGTGGCCACGCTGAAGCGTCAGGAGCTTTTTATTTTGTTTTTGTTCTTATTTAAAAATGGATGCCACAGCACACCCATGCATTGTGTCAGACGGCCCAAGACCCCGCTGAGGAGAGGTGTGTACTGAATGTATTTTATTTTACACAGGTGTGAAAATAAACCTGCTCCAGCTGGTAACAGAGTCCTTGGTCTTCATCTCATCCACACAGCACAACAGAGAACCTTTCGTAGCACACACAGTGTCAAGCCAGACCGGCTACACCAACAAATCCAACTTAACTCATTAGCCTAAATGTTTTGGCTGAATGGAAAAAAGTATAATAAAGAGAGAGAAAGAGACTGGATCCGACCATAATACAGCATGCTGATGATGCTGGCACTGAAAAGCAAAAAAAACTTCACCAAAATCCATGAGGCTTACGGACATCGATTTCACCGTTTCAAATCAAAATGAGACAAGACAAACAAATAAATATATATGTATATATATATATATATACTGCTATCAAGTGACCTCTCTTTTACACTATGTGGTAAGTTAGGTCACCTGTTGGGCTTCATTTTATTTATTTGAGGAGCCAGGTCGCTTGTTTTGGGCTTGTTTCCATAGAGCTGGTTGCTTGTTTCTCTTGCGAGATCTGGCGCTTTATAGAGAATTATGTCATCTTACTGAAGTTATTTGGGTTTATTACACTCTAAGATTTAGTAATTTTTGTATTTTTGATGAAATTTTGTGTATCAAAATAAATATCTTTTTTTTTTTAATTTACTCTCAGCTCCATCCACCCGTCTGCAGAGACTGGCTGCAGGACTCTTTCTTTACGCTTTGGAGGATACGACAGCTTTGATATGGCTGGAGTCATGTGTTTCATAAATAAACATGTTCTAATGTAGACAAGTATAAATTCGTCCCACCTGTGTATATTTGACAACATTGCCTGTTTACACGCTGAAGAAGAGCATCTGCTCGAAACGTCCTTGTGGCAATTAAAATAAAAATGTAGTTTGACGTTGAAAAGGAGTTGAGCATGTTTTCTTCATGATTTCTCAGACTGCAGACAGATACTATTGGATGGTTCTACTTTTAATGCTTTTATTTTGAAGGGCTGAAAAACGAAAGTGAAATTGTCAGCGACGCCATTTGGTGCATTAAGGTATGTGTGCCCGTGTTTTTCTTGCCATATTTTATTAAATTAAAGACTAAACAACATTGGAGAACAGTGTAAAAGTGAATCTTCGTTGTTTTAAAGTTAAAACTCTTCTGTGTGAAATGTTATAAATCCTCTAATGATCACTAAATGAACACAGAGGATCCTGAGACACTCAGGCTGTCTGACACTTTAGACTTTATCGAAATACATGAAAATAACCTCAAACTTCAGGGCAGATATAAGGACTACAACAAGGAGACTCATAGGGAGAAAATGTTGAAGTTATTTCTAAACATGAAGTCTTTGTGACTTCCTGACTGTTGTTGACGAGTCTTGTAATCTTCCAGGAAACACTGCGGTCAAGCCAGCCGCTCCTCAAGTTTACATGGTGAAGTGAGCCGACCCTAAATTTAAAGAGAAAAACATGTAAACAACATGCTGCTTTGTCTTTCTGAGGATGTATTGTTGTTAATTCGGTGTCTGTTTTGACGTAATGTTGATAAAGTGACGATAAATACGATCGCGAGTCCGTATATTGTGTTTTATTTTGAAATTGAACTTTCAAATTTCACTACCAAATCTACATTAACTAATTAACGGAAAATAAATTCCATACATCAATTAAAGAAAACAAATCAGGTGAACATAGAAATAGCTCAGGCAAGGCAAGAAACATTTAAAAAGCAAGACTTTAGATATATCCAAATCAAGTTTTTTGGCCTTTCTATTCTATTTTCCATATATTTTATAAATTAGTATAAATTTACCCAAAATTATAACAAGGTTAACAATGTCTGAATATAATAGAGGATATCTTTGTCAGAAAATGTAGGAATGTTATCAATCTTTAAAGACAACCAGCTGTGGATATCAGCCCAAAATGTTTTACTGTATGAGCAGTCAACAAGTAAATGTTCCAAGGTTCCTACCTCTGAGGAGCAAAAAGCACAGGATCTACTTCAAAATGGAGCCTTTTGTGTAAAAAATCACAAACTGGGTCGATTGTACATGCAACTTTAAAATGTGTTTCTTTGAGCGTAGGAGTAACTGGACATGACAGATTAAAAAGAAAAACACAATTTTCTCAAGGTCTCTTGTTTTTCTGTTTAAAGACTGTTTCACCGTCTATCAAACAGATCAACTTCACCAACTTTTAAACAAGGCAAGAAAGGTACACACAGAGAATATGACATGTTACTTTAGATCATTTGTTGTAAATTCTTCAAAGGTAAATAGGTATCCCTCTGTATTCATTGAATGCCAATTTTTCTAACATCATATTTAAACCATTCCCATTTATTCAATGGGGATAAATAACTTTGTAGTTCGACCTTTTTGATTAAGGAGAGGGTCCTTTTGCAAAATCAGTTGCTTTTTAATACACTTGTTACACTTGACTCCAGTATCCTGATAATATCGTATCTTGACTCCAGCATCCTGATAATATCGTATCTTGACTCCAGCATCCTGATAATATCGTATTCATGGTTTGGACTTCACACTGTTTTTACTCTGTGAAATATTAAACAGATTTATCATCATCAGGTAGTATTCATGTACACTTTGTCTTCAGTGAGAACATTTCTCTTTCTCTTCACAGATTCTCCTGCTGAACGTCTCCACAGGTCAAACTCTGACATGTGGTCCATACGAGTATGAGACACCTGGTGGATGCTGTGCTGTGTGTCCACATGGTAAGATCCAGTTCATAATTTCCATTTATGTCTGAGACTATTTACACCTGGTGAACAATCTGCATCTGTCATGAAGATGATGATGATGATGATGAAGATGGTGATCTCTCTCTGACTGCAGGAAGCTGAAAACACTTTTCTCTGGGAGTGTGTTACCTGTCCTGGTTTGGAGTTACATTTCTCTTGGTCTTAAATCTGCGTTGGTTCAAACAGATGAGGAATCTGTGCTGGTCTTCTGTTACAGAGAGAATGAGACCTGGATCAGCTGCAGTGTTTCTGGTAAATGATCTTATTGAATTATCTGAGCACTGATTCAGGTTTTAGATTTCTCCTCTTCAGCATTTCTATCTGTGTAAATATTTGTTGTGAATGATTCTTCTTCACACAAACAGACAAACTTCAGATGTGAAGATTTGAACTCTTTCCCCCTTCTCTCTTCATGGACTGGATGATGATTTTAGATTTCTCTCTGTATTCATGTACACTTTGTCTTCAGTGAGAACATTTCTCTTTCTCTTCACAGAGTCTCCTGATGAACGTCTCCACAGGTCAAACTCTGACATGTCCTCAAAAACAGTATCAGATAAATGATAGATGCTGTCCTATGTGTCCAGCTGGTAAGATCCTCATGAATGTTAAAGAATCTTTAATTAAAGTTTATCAGGTTAGTTTCAATGTCCCTATTTTAAATAAATAACCTGTGACTAACTAAAAACATGCAAAAGCTGTTTAATATTTGTATTGTTTTCAACATATACATTTAAAGAACATTTACCTTTACAATTACCTTTAAACATATTCATTATATATTATCGTCCTCTGTTCCACTTACCGTCTTCCTGTTCCTCCTTTTTTCGCCCACTCCATGTCTTGTTGTTGTTTCAAACAGGAGGTCGAGTTTATGCAGACTGCACAGAGTCCAGAAGTACTGACTGTAAGCCCTGCCCTGAAGGAACCTTTATGGACCATCCGACTTCTCGTCCAGTCTGCTACAACTGTAAAAGCTGTGATGAAGGTAGATCTCTGACATTATTATCAAACTAAATAAAGATCAGAACATGTTACTAAACAGTCATCATTGTAAAACCAGCTTTCTAACCTTCAGTTAGTTTGAGTTTGAGCCTCAAACACAGAGATGATCATCTGAGTACTTGTTATTTCCTTACACCAAACTGTTCTTCAGTAGAGCAGAAGTACAGTAGTTCATAAATAACCTCTGTGTTTGTGTCGACAGGTTCTGGTCTGAAGATGAAGACGTCGTGTACGATAGTATCAGACACAGTTTGTGAACCTCTGGAAGGATTTTACTGCTCAGACTCTAGAAAGGACGACTGTGTGGAAGCAAGGAAACACAGACGCTGTAAACCAGGAGAATACATCAGAGAACACGGTTAGTTAAACACATTTCACTTCATCACACACAGACAGTTTGAGTTCAATGTGAACTCACAGACTGGGACGCCATTCTTACCCCGTCATTAACACGTATGGTGGACGGTGGTAGAGGGACTGTGTTCATGTCTAAAACAACCTCTGTGAAATAGTCTCATGTGTTCTGTATTTCCTGCAGGAACTTCCTCCACAGACACCGTCTGCTCGATCTGCTCTGATGGAACATTTTCAAACGGGACGTTTCCATCTTGTCAGAAACACACACAGTGAGTGAAGCTTCACATCACACATGGACTCTCCAGATGTTCCTGTAATAACTGTCCCTCTATCATTACAGATGTGAATCAAAGGGTCGAGAGCTGCTGAGACCAGGAACTGAGACAGAGGACGCTCAGTGTGGAGGACTACTGTTACACAGGACTGTACTGATTAACTCCGTTGTTGTTGTTGTGTTGTCTTTATTCTCTGTACTTTTAGTTTGTTATCTCGCATGGTGGATAATAAGACTTCTAATCTCAGGTAAGGTCTCCACTGTGACAATGAAACATGATCATGTTTATTTTAAAGATATTATGGTCTGTCTCATCATTTATTTGATTTTTATTTCTAATGTCTTATTCCAGAAGTCATAGCAGCAGTACTCTACTACCAGGTATGTTTTAAACTCTCTTTACTTTCAATCTGTTTTATGTTCAATGATTTATTAAAGTCTCTCTTATTAATGTTTTCTGTACAGGAGGGTATGAATTCAGGACAGTCATCTCAGCAGAGTCTGATGTCAGATGACTCCAAAGAGTCGAAGGTGAGCCAGCAGAGCTTTGATCAAATGTTCTCTGACTGACTGATCAACTCTGTCCTGTTTTTACAGATTTACTAAATGTTTGATTTAAACTAAATCTCTTTTCTCCTCAGGATGAGACGGTTCAGGATCCTGTTCTGGTCCAGCTGCTGGATCCTGACAAACTTTGTTAATATCTGTTTATATGTATATATGTGTTTATATTGATATTTATATCTATTTTTTTATCTGGTCTCGTTTGGTTTTTCTGAGACGATGATTGGACACAAACACTTTCAACAGCGTTCCATCGGCTCTCTCACCATCAAGTTTCTCTTGCATTTCTTGTTACTATTGTAAAAAGGAATAAATAAAAAGATTTGACTTAATCAGTGTCTGATTCTTGAACAATAACATCAAACTATTGAATATCTGTGCTCTGCTGTCCTCTGGTGGCCAAAAACAGAACTGTTTGAGTGTGTTATTTTAACTTCAACACTCTGACCTAAGAGTTCAAATATTTGTAAGTTAAAGGACAGTAAGAACTCTGAGGTCAAAGGTCAAAGGCTCAGTTCTGTTTCTGAAGTAAAGCTCTGTGTTTCATACTTGAATATATCACCTGGAGGAAGAACTCTGAATACTGAACTCTATCAAATCATCAATCTCATCTTTCATCAAACCTTTCTCTCCTTTGTGTCCTACATAAAAACAGAAAACACTTTAGAGATTAAATATATAAAAAAGTAAGACTTAAATTGAATTGAGCAACACAGATTAATAAGGGTTATAGAGGGAGGAAAAAAAAGAAAGTACAGTATTGTTCACTGTGGATCAGGAGCGCCCTCTGCTGGACAGCCTTCATGATGACACCATATCTAAATGATCCTAATGGCGGTTTCTCCATTAAATATTTTGTCAAATGTTTTGTTTTTATATCAGCACACATATAAAAAAAATCACCAATCCATCTATCTACATTTTATTCCTTATCAAGGTCGGGTCGCTGTGGCAACAGGCGAAGTACATTTTTATTATTTATTATTTTATTTATTTGCACAGTAAGGGAAAAAAACAAATAACAGAATAGACAACATTTAGTGCAGGAAGAGGCAGAAAACTCAATGAGCTTATTTGAAGCCTCCACCTAAATAATGCTAAAATATTACCAAATTAAAAAAACAACTAAAATAAAATAAAAAAACCCAGACTTCCTTCTCCCCTTCAACATTTTCCAGCTGTTCCCAGGACTGAGGCGTTCCCAGAACTGAAAGGATATCCTTCCAGTGAACTCTGGGTCTACCCCAGGGGGTTCTCCCGGTCGGGCATGCCCGTAAAAACCTCCACAGGGAGGCGTCCAGGAGACCCAATCAGACGCCCGAACCACCTCAACTGTCTCCTTTAGATGTGAAGGAGTAGCAGCCACTTTTTCAGTGACTACCCATAATGCATCTTTTTACAGTCTATGGCGTGACCACAGAGGGTTGGAATGAAGATCGGTAAATCGAGAGCTCTCCCTTGAGTCTCAGTTCCCTCTTCACTACATCAGTTCGGTACAACGCCCCCATATACGCTGAGTCAATCCGTCTGTCAATCTCACGGTCCATCTTACCCTCACTCTTGAACAACACTGACACACTTAAACTCCTTCACTTGGGGGCAAATAATCACTCCCCACCTGGAGGAAGCGATCCACTTTTTCCAACAGAGAACCACATCCTTAGACCCTGAGGTGCTGAACCTCATCCCAGCCGCTTCAAACTGCACCAATGCCTTCTGGAAGTCCCAGCCCAATGCCTTCTGGAGGTCCCAGCATGAAAAAGCAAACACAACCACATCGTCTGCAAAAAGAAGAGAGGATATGTTGAGAACCGTCCTCCCCCCGGCTACAACTTGTGATCCAGTCCCACACGACCCCCCGAGCAACACGGTCATAAGTCTGCTTCAAGGCTTTCCCCAGGAGGCTGAGAAGTGCGATTCCCCGATAAATAGAGCACAACCTCGGTCCCCCTTTCTATAAATGGGATCTGCCACCCCACAGGCATTGTCCCAGACCTCAACGTGACATTGAAGAGACGCATCAGCCAAGACAGCCTAACAATGTCCAGAACCTTTAGCATCTTAGGGCGACTCTCATCCACATCTGGTGCCACTGAGGAGCTTTCTCAGTGACCTCTGCTAAGGTTAGTGGTAAGGTTCACCCCAGATCTTCAGACTCTGCCTCCCCTTCAGAGGATGTGTTGGTTGGGTTCAGGAGTTCCTCAAAGTATTCCTTCCACCACCCCACGATGTCCCAAGTCCGGGTCAGCAGTTCTCTATCCCTGTTGATAACAGCCCAAGGCAAGCCCTGCTTTCCCTCCCTGAGCCGGAGAACAGTTTGCCAGAACTTCCTTGAGGTGATCTGAAAGTCCTTCTCTATAGCCTCCCCGAAATCCTCCCACACCTGAGGAGGACCCCGAAGAAACAAGAAGAAAGAAGTTGAGACTCTCAGACAGTTCTGTCTTTGACCACTAGAGGTCAGCAGCAGTACACAGCCATAAAACTGACATTTAAGAATCTGACACTTGGATTCAAAAGTTCATGAAAAGCATGTGATTAAGGTTAAAGGGTTACTGGGACTAGAAAAGTCCACCAAAGGACTAAAATACAGTTCAGTTCAGATTAAATACCAAATTTCCATCTACTTATTACCATAGTGCAATACTTACTTTTTTTAAAGGCTTCCACCTGAATTGTTTGTTTTTATGTACACTGATCAACAAGCCACGATGGACAAAGTGTGAGGTGTTGTCTTCATGTCTGTTTGCCTTTTTGTTTGTTTGTTTGTCCCCTTCAATGAAATTCATGAACATTCCTGTTTTGTTATTATCTTTAATTCATTTGTGGTTTGGACCATAAAATATCATGACATTTCCCAGCGTTTACTTTATAAAGTGATGATAAAAAACAGAAACAATGCAAGTGATAGAGAGCAGACACCAGAACCATGGACAGAGTCAGAACAGAAATGAAATGTGAGACACAAATACATATTAGAAATAATCTGAAGAAATGTATTAAAACAGAGATGGTTCTTTCTTCAAATGTATTGTCATTTTTTATTGTGATTATT